AGAAGACGGCAACACAGAATTATTTGCCACTGAAACTGGCGTCAGACAGGGATATATCCTGTCTCCGTTCCTCTTCCTGATGGTGATCTACTTCGTTGTGAAGAAGGCATTTGACCGAGATCATTTTTAAATTACATAGATAAAACCAAACCAAGATTCTGACTTTGACTTACCGGATGAAATTGCACTCCTTGGCGCCAAGAATAAGAAAACACAAAAAAATACAATGAGCCTGGAAAAATAAACGTTCCTAGTTGGATGTATGATAAACTAGAATAAGACAAAGCTCGTGAAGATCAGATATACCACAGCAAGGGACACCGTGAAGATAGGTCAGCAACAACTTGAGGAGGTAGAGAAATTCACCTACCTAGGCAACACCCTAGCCAACGATGGCGACGCCTACCACGATGTCGCTTGTAGAAGGAAGCCAGGTGCGGTATTTCAATAGCTTCAACCAATCTGGGACAACAATCAAATCAGTATAGCAACAAAAATACAGCTACTCAATACTATCGTCGTCCCAGCTTCAATCTATGCATGTGAAACGTGTAAGACGTTGGCCCGTATTACAAGGAGGCTTAATATCGACCATACTCAATGGTTGTGTAGAATCCTGCAAATCTCATACTAGTATCGCATCACCAAACAGATACACGCCCTCTCAACGACATTGTGACAAAAATCCGGCTTCATTTTGCAGGCCACATACTCGGCAACCAATATCACGGTGACCATGAAACGCCACCATGTGAACGCCGCGGGGAAGACGGAAACAAGGCCGCCCCCGAACTACATGGCGAAGCAACTTCATAGAATATTTGAGAGCGCTGGGCATATCATTGTAAACCATTGCGACAGATCGACCTCGATAGAGAGCACTCGCTGCCCAATGCGCAGAAAGGCGCATGAGGAACTAAGTCTAAGTAAATTACTAGGAGCTAACATCATGGAGTGAAGTGTAAATAAGTTTCCATGATGCTATTGTTTAGGTTTAGTAAATTCAGGCCCGAGCCGCATTAACGCTCCTAGAATTCAGTAGCTCCTATTGAAATCTATTTGTGCATATTGATTGTATTATTCCATGTACGGTGGTTGTAATTGGAGACTGGATAAAACGAGAAGGGACTGTTCCGTCGTCAGCAGGAGCCGTTTATAACTGTCGTGATGGTAAATGTGATGCATTTTTACAGGCGAAATGTGGCATGATTTGACTGGCGTACTAAAAATAGTTATATGTAATAGGATGAGTTATATAGTTGTATGGCCCGAAATGCTGACGGTACGTTACGAAAAGTTAATGAAGAGAAACTTTGCAGTTGTGCGATAGACAATTGTGAAATTGTAAGATCTGTACTATTGTATTAATTACAGTAAAATTCATAGAATTGAGAATTTGGAATTTCTAATTTACAGCAGTCGTTGTATAGAGGTATTTAAAAATAAGGGAAAACGCATGATTTCAAGCAGAAGAGCGCCATGGATGGACATCGCTCGGTCGGTAACCTCTTGCATTGTTTGTTACAGAGAATAAATTTCTGGTCGCAGCCGGTGGGATGTTTGAATAGTTGTGTTATAGTCGCTAGTAATTTATTTTGGTTATGTTCAATATCGACTATTTAATCGCAATTGGAAAGGCAGACTTGTCACACATAAAACAAAAATCAATGATGATGACAGAACGTCATTTTCGTCTTGCGGCGTTCAGTGTGCGAAAGTAGATGTATATATTTACTCTTAAGAAAAATATTTAATTTGGTTATGCCTTGTTTAATGGCCGCTTATGTTCAGTCACTGAAAACTGGATTTAATCTAGAATCTAATGTAGGATGATATACAGCAATGAACAGAAAAAAAGGTTATGGTTTTCAGGTCGCTGAAATTCAATAGGATGTCGGTCAATGACGCAATGAACTAAAATGATAAGAATTGTTGGCTATGAAATCCTATTCATAACTCTACTTTCAGCTACTATCTAAGTGAATCCAGTTTCCGCATGAAACAAAATGCTATTATTCCCCAGACTTATTTATTAACGCTTTCTTTTACATAATATATACCAAAGCAGTAATCAGAATGACATATTATATATTGCAAACGATATATGGAATTGTTGCAGAGTTTTGTTACTGTAGAGTGTACCTGCGCTTCGAATTATGAATGCTGGTAGTCTGCAACTGATTATGGACTAATTCAAATCTCAGAGCAACGAAGCAATTTGCTAACGCGCTAGCAGAATTGAGAAAAGATCTCCCGAGGAATACGGATACAGATTTTCAATATTACTGCCATTTTGTATTAAATATCATCATTTGTTCTGGTATACAATATTTATTTTCACAAGATATTATTGCGAACATAGCATATAATTGGCACCTCCACTGAGACAAATAGTTTAATAGGAATTTTAGGCCCATTCAGCGTATTGGAAAATACAGTAGTCCTTCGAAAAGAATTATTAATACAAGGCGATCTTCAGGTTTGAATGTTTTCAAGCCTGCATATTGTGTTTAGGTAAAACAACTGAAAAAGTTGATTTAAAATTTTCACAATTTTGTTTTGCTCAATGTATACATAAAATAAAATAAAAATAAAAGTTTTTTTAACAGATAAAACTGAGTAATCTATTCAAAGAATCTGAAACTTTTAGGAAAAAATACTCATGATGAAATTATTCGGACAGCTTTTAAAGGGAAGTAGTTGTTTGAAAGGGTGATTATAGATGTGGTTGCACAGTTCTTGCTATACTTGATTTTAATATTCATATATTAAAATATATATATATATATATATATATATATATATATATATATATATATATATATATATATATATATATATATATATATATAAGGACATGAGGTGACGCATAGCTTTTCATCATATGCATGATTGGTTCATCAAAACTGATGTAAATAAATTAGGTAAATAAATTGCACAAACACCCATTAATGATACGGTTTGCTAGAGTCTTTCGTATTTTATGGAATTGACAAGATTGCAAATTATTGGCGGTATTTTGTCCAGGATACTTCAAGGTTCGTCTATTATATATGGTAACAACATAATTTTACTTTTCTGACAGGCAAAAGATATTCAACATTGGAAATATGTGGCCCCAAATAGAAATTAATCAAACTACTAGTCAAACACCTATAAATTAATTCACGTATCTTAAGCAACTTAAATGAAATGTTAAGCATTTGTTGTTGCTTTTCTTCATTACTCTCCCCGTATTCATAAGTTTTAAATAAATACCTTAAGAACTGACTACTTTATTTTCCGAATTGGAGTGAGTTACTTGCTTTAGAACTGGCATTATCTTGGAACCTGAATATATTTTTTTTTGCCTCGAGATAACATGTTTTATCTAATGTAATGGATATAGCAAGATATACTACTACTAATACTACTACAACCACTACTACTACTATTAAAACTAATAATAATAATAATAATAATAATAATAATAATAATAATAATAATAATAATAATAATAATAATAACAATAATAATAATAAAAATAATAACAGAAAATGTTTGAAGCTTTTATGAGGACATACATTTTTGGCAATGTTATTTATCAGGTTTTGTATTCCCAAAGAGAAAAATTAAATACCACCGGAACATTATACGGCACACACTTTCATAGTTGTTTGCCATTAATGGTTAGTCATTATAGTTATTATCTATCGCTTTAAGAGCTCTGATTGTTCTATCTTAATCAAATAATTAATTAGTGATTTGCACTGGAACGACTGGTATATACACTGCATGTAGACAAATAGTGTGATAAATCATGACATTGTGTTTATTAATGATGACTTTAAAAAATTTTCCAAACTATCGACAACACGATAAGATTATATATAATAGCATGGACTTTGTACAACACATCATCTTCAGACTCTCAGCGATCAGACAGGAATTTGAACGGGAACTACGAAATCTAGCAGTGAGCATTATTTATGCTTGATTCGGAATGGATTGGGTAGCCAGGAAAAGTTGCATAGTATGGGAGGCTGAGTTCATTTCGTGCTACACTAATAGCAATCCAAGCAGCTTTTTTAACGTAATTTTCTGTAGTATATATTGGGAAGAAACATATAAAACTGAATTACAATAGTCCAGTCATAAAAGTACAAAAAAAACACAGAATTGTTTAATTGGAGCCAAGTTAAAGCAAATTGCGAATGGAGCTGATGCGTCTCATCTTTGCTTATGTTCACTGCTTGTTGATTAAATATGAGCATATTGTCAAGATTTACACCTAGGTTTCGCATTAAAATTTAATGTTGTCATTGCTGATCATTGTTTGAGGTAAATAATGTAAATGAGAAAGTCTCTACGTTGTGAACATGATGGCTTTAAGTTTATAACCATTCATCTGTCACTTGTAACCTGACATTCAATTCCGTTTGTGAGACCGGATGTCCGTCTATGACACTTCAGAGCAGCTTAGCGTGTAGAATTAAAACAAAATGGGCCAAGAACCGAGCCCTGTTGGACATCAAAACAAAACTTAAATGGGTTGGAATGTTTTTTAGTTACAATTTCTGTCCTATTTATCTGGTAGGAGTATAACCGTATTAAGGCTGTATCGTGAATCACCTTTACGTGCTGGATACGGAGAAATGCTATACCATGGCATGTTGTGTAAATGCCTTACAAAAGTCAATGATGGTGTTGAGTGTAATTTTTCCACTATTCAAATGCAGACAAATGGTTATTAACTATTCTCGGAAGGGCAGTCTCTGAACGACGGAGAAGAAGGTATTAAGGCTGTTTATAGCCAAAATGACTATATGAATCAGATGAGAAACAAGTTGAGATAGAACACCTTTCTAAAGAGTTTCTAAATGAATGAAAAATCAGAAAGAGGGTGATAATTCTGACTCTAGATAAATAATTTAACGAGTCAGAAAATTGCTGTTTTATAAAAAAAAACATCTAACGATATTAACAGCGATCCTTGTATTTCACTCGTAATGGAGAGCGCAGATGGCCCAGTGGTTAGAGCATCCGCCTCAGATGCGGGAGGTCGCTGGTTCAAACCCCTGCCGAGTCATACCAAAGACTATTAAAAATGGCATTAATAGCTGCTTAGCTAGACATTCAGCATTAAGAGTTCTTTGTTAGGACTAGTTGGCCTAGTGTCAGAATAATGTGAGTGGGTGTGACATGATGCTACATGCCTGTGACATGATGTCCCAGTGCTGGACATGGCAGTAAACTACCAGACTGCATAAATAGCAATATACATAGCAATATGACTGCAAAATTCTTACAGCTACGTTAAAAATTCAAATCTCTCTCTCTCTCTCTCTCTCTCTCTCTCTCTCTCTCTCTCTCTCTCTCTCTCTCTCTCTCTCTCTCTCTCTCTCTCTCTCTCTCTCTCTCTCTCTCTCTTCTAGAATTAAACCAAGAGAAAGCTAATAATTTATTGATGATTTATTGATTTTGTCTATTTTTCAAAATGCTTCTAGGAATTATCATTGCAAAAGTATAACTAACCCAGGACGTGTAGCAAATCTTCACGGCTCCAATCGTTCAAATTAACAAACAACGTCGTCATTTCATTATGCAACTTCTGTCTTTCTTAGGACTTTGCTACCATTACCAGATTGTCATGGTTTCGAGCATATGATTGGTGAACTTATAAAACACACATTTAATATAGATCCGTATCGATTAGTATGGGGAGGAGAAGACAAATATTCTTACGAATATCTGAAGATTTTTTTATTTCCAACGAATTTATTAAAATTGTACAGATATCAAATTCAAGTGAAGTCTTATTCAAGCAAAGTCGGTAATTATAGCTCGATTCTCTCGTAAGTAAAAGTTTAATTTCGTTGGTGATATGCTCCGTAATTAGTTTTAGTTCAGATTCAGTTATAATAATCATTTTATCCACTCTAATGATTAAACGCCATTAATAAAGAGCAGTCGTTCATTTTTAACTATTTTTTCTCTAATATGGTTCTAATGCTATCATTTTAAATATTTCTAAATTCTCAGAAGCTGTAATAAATCAATTTTTTAAAAAAACGAATGGCATATTTTATGATAAAAAGTATCATGCAAGTTCTGGATGTATAAAATGCATATTCAAAATTGCATAAAATGCATATGCCAATGAATTTGACGCGATAGAGACAGTAACTGAATTTTCCGAAGATTTTCTCAATACAAGACCGAAAAATGACCTAAAAATCATTTTGATTTTTACTAATATTCGCTTTCTTAAATAAGAACCATTTGAATATTTTTCAAACATTCCGTTGTTTGCCTTTGTTAACATTATGTTCTTTTTTCTTCCAAAAACCAAATGTCTCATTCGACATTCAAGTATTCATTAGAGCTATTGGACCAAAAGATGTTACCAAGATGTTCTCCAACGTTTTAACACTCTGAGCCGGAGAAAGTAGCAATTCCTCCCATATACTCAACCTGACGGGTGTGGTAATAAGAAATGAATTTAGATAACCGGCATAATAACTTTTCCACATAGTCCTGGTTGGATAGCCGATAGATATTCCATAAACTGTCACAAGAGTTAGATCAGTTATCGGATATCCATGACACGGATTTCTTTATAATTGATCAACAGGGTCAAGTAAAAATCCAGTGGATTTAAAGTGCTCATGAAATTCATCAGCACTATGTCCAACGGACTCCGCAAAATATTAATATTGTAAACACTGAACAACAAATTGAGGCAAACAATATATCGATTGCTCAGATAAACAGAAGTACGACCGAGTAAGCGACATTCGCTGTATAATTGCCGCAAGCGCAGCCAGGAAATTTGATATATATCAGATGCCTTAAATCTGGCATTAATTTAGGGATATACTGGACAAAATGTTCATTTTCTTAATATGTTATCTACCAAACTGAGAAATTAGATTCATATTCTGACAGTCTCCTGCATTTCCTCGTGAGACAATTGATTACTTGATCGCTGAATACAGCAAATGTTTACTCCAACAATCTGCACTCTGGTAATTGCATAGTCCCGTATATAGTTTTCTAAGCTGCAAAATACGAGATTGTAGAGGAAAGGACAGCTTAAACTTTATCTTTTAATAGATATGCATAGGAACACAAAAAGGTACAATCGGAGCAAGTTGTTTTTGTGCTATACTTACAAAATGTGGGTTGTCCTTCGAGATCGAAGAAGACCGAAGCTGATTAGGCCAAAATTGTGCCCCAAATAATTTGTAGTACACTACAGTGGACTTGCCCCTTGTGGATGAGCGATTAATAGAGGACGTGTCTGTACAATTCTCAACAGTTCAAAGTCCAGGTGTTACGATTATGTGCAAGATCTTCAGAAGATTCAGGAACAATGCTGAAGTGTTTCAAGAATGACTTAAGGGAAGCGTTTCTTCTGAACACCATGAGATCGATTTCACTTTGTCAGCTCCCAACAGAAGATATTTGTGATTAGTACTACTCATCTATTATGATGTCGACAGCAGAGTATGGATGCTTGGAATGAGTGAATACGTGAGAACGTCAGTGCCTGGACCATGTTCTGCTACCTTATCCCAGTATCTTCCCCAAGGCAGCCCATGTAAAAATGGTTCAGAGTAACCTTCAAGATTCGTAAACATTCAAAAAGGCTGGCAAGACAAGTGACATGGAAGACCCTACGTTTTGCATGTTGTTTTCTATGCTTCTATGCTTCACACATGTTAGTGTAGTCTGAGAAAGATCACGTTTGAGTTAAAAATGTTGGTTTTGGTTAAAGCATCTTTGTGGACTATACATGCAAGTGTGATGCTGAGACAGCCCTTTCACCCTCCCATCATGATACTGGTTGTAATACCGAAATTATCACAAGCTGACGAAAATTGTCCATGTTCTGCTGCATATAATACTTGGCATTCAGGAAACACTCTCCAGCAATGGAATCGTTCAGATAAATCGCCGTCGTTCACGTTCCTCGTGCGACGAACATGATCCTAAAACAATGCTGCCCAGTCATCCATGGTCAGTTGAACTCTACTGCTGCTTCAGTCTAGTGAAAAGCGACATCATATCCTGAGATCCCTATATGCAGCTAAACTTCCAAGTTAACATACAAACATACATACATACATACATACATACATACATACATACATACATACATACATACATACATACATACATACATACATACATACATACACACACACACACACACATACATACATACATACATACATACATACATACATACATACATACATACATACATACATACATACATACATACATACATACATACATACATACATACATACATACATACATACATACATACATACATACACACACACACACACACACATACATACATACATACATACATACATACATACATACATACATACATACATACATACATACATACATACATACATACATACATACATACATACATACATACATACATACATACATACAACGCCTTCTCTAATAACTATATCAGCCTTGTAATCTTTTACATTTGAAGAACGGAGAAATTACTTCAGATGTTTTCTTAAAATCGGATATATAAGATACATGCACTATAATGGTAGAATAACACATAAGACATGACTCTAAGATCAAATAGAATTTCAATATCTGAAAAGTCTGTTAAAAATAATTTACTATAACATAATTATTAATACTCTGGACAAACTGATAAAGGCCATAGACATGAATATCTACAAAATATCTTCGAATCTTAAATCAATAGTGTTTCCATAGAATCTGCGTATCCTTATTAATTTATATTTTCCTTTTGGCAACAACAAACGTAAGAACAATACCAACAGTAATAATAATACCGTGTAACAAATTCTCTTTCATTTTTTGTTGTGGGTTGTAAGTATTTATTTCTACATGTTTTTGCTCAACGTTATAGAAAATGGCTATTATTCCCCACAAACTTTGCTTTTGTGACCAGACAGTGGTATTTTGAAATTTGAAATACAGCTTCTGCAGAGACGAAATTGACGATGAGCTTCACTTTATGTCAAATTAAAAAACAAAACAAATAGTCATAATCAAATTATCATTTAGAAGGAAGTGAATTTAATGGCACAGAATTATGTTTTCTTATAATCTATACGAGATTTGAACAGAACTCAAAGAAGTTTATGTCTACCAATTAGAAACCTCATTTTAAGTAGCTTTTTAGAACCTTTTCATTTACTTAAGTTCCAAGAGAAAAGCAAACATAATATGTCCGAAAGCCCAAAATACACTCTTGTTTAGGCCATTGTTTGATATAGCATAAGATTAGTTTCAATATATAAAAAGTTATATTTAATTTATTTTGATTGTTCTCTACCACATTGTTAGAAAATTAAACCATCCATTCCGATTTCGATAACGGTAAATATTGAATACTGGTATACTGACATAGTGCTATTTTACATTCCTTTTAATATTTAACTAGGCAAATGCAAACCGTGCAAATAACATTAATTTTGGTAAGAGTATGATACAAAACCCAAGAAAATGTCATCTTCGTGTAGAAAATAACCCTATCCCATTTAAATAGTAAGTTACAACTCTCTAAAAAAATATAATATAGCGATTATAAGGTATTAAACCGGGATATGTATGTAGTGAACCATAGGGGGATTTTTAATTGTTTATTTACCGCGTCCTTAATGTAGCAGAAGTGAGAGAACATGAACCCATGTTTGAATATTTTCTAACATTTCAATTACCATATGCTGATAAATAGCGCAAATTTAAATTATATTGAGGGTAACCATAGTGCAGACTAATGCATGAAGTACAAGCTAAAATTTAAAACCCATATTTGAATGATGCTAAAACAGTCTCATGCAATCATAAGCAGCAGAAATGAACGAACACGTTCTGTATATAATTGGTAGCTAGATGACACTACTAGATATTTTCTAACACTAAAATTTATATGCTGTCTGATTTGATAAGGTGTAAAATAGCAATACAATACGAATGGAGATGCGAAAAACACGGAGGTGGTTTGAAAACCATTCCTATCTAAATGGATCACTTTTCAGATTTGTCCTATTAGTGCTGTTGTATTAC